TACTTTTGTTGGCTACTATACAGAAAAATTTAAAGTAATGTTTTGATGTTTTTTTATTATCGCTCTTTTCAATTTAGTTGAATATACTAATTTTACAAATCATTTTTTTTTAATTCTGTGAATCCTGTGAATTCCACAATTATGTTATAGATAGCTACCTTTTATTCGTCATATTCTGTGAAATTTATTTAAAATTTAGTGATTATTTCTTATTTGCTAATAGACTTTCTTTTTACAGGCTCTCTTTACTAGTAATATACTGTATTATGAATACACAGATAAAATCAGGCAAATTTTTATTTTTTAATATATTCTTAACAATTATCTATTTAAATTTAATAATTTTTTTTTTATTTAAATTCTACGAGATTGTAGAATTGAAATAAAAAAAAATTATCAAATTTAGATAGGTAGTTGAGAAATATTGATTGAAAGTTAGAAGGAATTTAGCTGCAGTTTCTTTTTTACAAACGCTCAAACCTTGAACAAATATTACTTAGAACTCATCTAACCAAATTTGATAGATTTTTTTTATTTCAATTCTACAATCTCGTAGAATTAAAGCAAAAAAATTTTGATCAAATTTGGTTAGATGAGTGCTGAGTAATCTTTATTCAAAGTTTGAGTGTCTGTAAAAATAAAACTGCAGTTAAATTTTTTTTAAATTTTTGGTCAATATTTCTTAACAACTATCTATCCAAGTTTGATAAAAAAAATTTTTATTGAATTTAGATGGATTGTTGTTAAGAAATCATTATTTAAAGTTTTTAATTTAGCTGCAGTTTTTTTTTATAGACATTCAAACTTTGAATGAAGATTACTTAGTACTCATCTAACCAAATTTGGATCAAATATAGTATAGCAGATACCATCAGCAGAATGTTTGAAAAGCTACACAATATGATCATATGATGTATATTAGTAGCTTAATTTTTGTGTAATCGCAAATAAGCTACATTAAATGAAGCTATTCAATTCAGTCTTATGATCATACAAAGTAACTACTGTGGCTCATTTGCAATTGCATGAAAACCAAGCCACTAACATCATATGATCACATGATGTGGCTTTTTAGAAATTTTGCCAATGGTGTCTGCTATACTATATTTGATCCCCAAATTCGACCAAAAATTTTTTATTTTAATTTTACAAGATTGTAGAATTGAAATAAAAAAAATTTCATTGAATTTGAATAGGTAGTTGTTGAGAAATATTGATCAAATGTTAGAAGGAATTTAGCTACAGTTTCTTTTTTACAGATGCTCAAACTTTGAATGAAGATTACTCAGCACTCACCTGACCAAATTCAATAATTTTTTTTTATAACAATTCTACAATCTCGTAGAATTAAAATAAAAAATTTTTGATCAAATTTGGTTAGATGAGTGCTGAGTAATCTTCGTTTAAAGTTTGAACGTCTATAAAAAAAAAAAAACTGTGGCTAAATTAAAAAAAAACTTTAAATGATGATTTCTTAACAACAATCCATCTAAATTCGATAAAAATTTTTTTTTAGCAAACTTGGATAGGTAGTTGTTAAGAAATATTGACCAAAAATTTAAAAAAGATTTAGCTACAGTTTATTTTTACAGACGTTCAAACTTTGAATGAAGATTACTCAGCACTCATCTAACCAAATTCGATCAAAATTTTTTTGCTTTAATTCTATGAGATTGTATAATTGAAATAAAAAAAAAAATTCATCAAATTTGGTTAGGTGAGTGCTGAGTAATCTTCGTTCAAGGTTTGAGCGTCTGTAAAAGAAATTGCAGCTAAATTCCTTCTAACTTTCGATCAATATTTCTCAACAACTATCTATCCCTATAAGAAAATTGGATCATGATGGCACGGGGTGGTTTCAGGATGGCACTGGTTCCAGTAGCACGAATAAAACCCGGATTTGTACGTAAAATGTTCGAGTTGGCACAGATTTGTGTCTTGCGTTGGACCGTATGCACGTGCCAGTTGGACCGTTAATGACTCAGGTTTTGTGACACTTTACTAGTCCAATTGGCATGGATTTTGACACGGTTTTGGCATGGTTTGGTACGAGCAATAAGACGTGCCATCTCGTACATACAACATACATATACGTATCATCCAATACGTGCCATACCGTATGACATGACACAATGTGCCACCACTTGCCGTAAATGTCCGTATCATTTTTTAATTATAAAATGTGCCTATACATGTCACATTGGGGTGTGCGATATACTATATAATCAAAACTATATATGGTACTAAATAAAAATTTAATATTGAAGATTTTTGGTGGAACAAAGTCAAATTTCGAAGACTATGAAAATTTGATTAGATGTGCAGCCTTTAATACCGGGTGTTTCA